TTCCCCTAACAGCAGGAAAATTGTCTTATCAAAATGATAGTCCACAAACCACGCAGTAAACATATCCCTAGTTAAGGGTTCCAAATATTGAATGATAAATGGTGAATCAAATCCAACATAAATTCCCAATATGTGATGATGCCTTATTTTAGTACATTGTGATAGTGCAATAGGCACATATATAACACAACCAAAAACTTGTAAATGTGTAATGTTTGGCTAATGCCCAAACACGAGTTGTACTGAGAAATATTGATGGTTGGTAATAGGTCTCAACCGAACTAATAATGCATAATGTAAAATGACATGTCTCCATGTATAAAACTGGCAATTTCGTTTTCATGAGCAGAGCTCATGTAATCAATTTCATCCGCTTAATAAATGTTTCTACTAAACCATTTTGAGTATGGACATGAGGAACTTCTGGTCCTTATTTAATAGTCTATGGATTAAGACTCTTATGATTTTTATTACAATTAAGTTAAGACACTGCAACACTTCAAACTTACGGTACTCATCAAGGAACTTTATGTCTTGATCTTAAGGATCAAGGGACTTCATGCCTGATCTTTTTTCATGATGGAACTTCAGGTCCAATCATTTTTATATGATGAGGATCAAGAAATTGCAGGTTCTGATCTGATCAAGGAACTTCAGGTCCTGTATATACTTATCGTAACAAAAGAAAAATACAATAAGTAAATTAAAGCAATAGGCGGTAATTCCAGCTAATAGGATTTTTACCACCTGCAAAAGTAGGGATAAAAATACTTAAAAATACTTGCAAGAGAACAAAGTTATTGTAGTATAGTAGCTCAAGTAAGGTCGTTTTCCACAAGGATTGAATGAATAATTTGTGTATAAAACCAACTCTCAATTAATTATTTAAAACAAAGTTTGGAAAATATTGATTTTAGAATTTAATATAATAAAAATGAATTTTAAAATAAAACAATTAAAGAAATTAACTAGAGAACAATTTAAAAGAAAATCAATTTGGCAAAGCCTAGGGTTCCGCCATCCACTTAACAATCCTACGCAATTTTATCAATTACTTATGAATTTCCACACACATGCTTTGAAGGTTAGGTTTTCTTAATGCATATTTTCCTCGTGATGTTCAAGCGAAAATGTATATCTAACATGTAACCCGTCTGTGATGTTCAGATCAAATATAAACATGCAGGACTCATTAAGCTTTGTGAAAACCCTTTGAAAAACCATGCAACCCTTAAGAATGTGATGTTTGCCTTAAGTGAACTTACACTTACTAATCACAAGAAGCCCACTTCAATTTCAGGGTGATGTTCCAACAGAAATTGCATCAAATTACTTGTTTAAAAACCCTAATGGTCGCGAATCATTAAGACAATTAATAGTTTAATGACGATGATTAATAATTCAAAGCAAACATGCTTCCATTCATAAGCAAATTAATAAAATCACATATTCATGCTAAGGCTCAAGGCTTCGTCCTAGCAAAAGAAATAGTTACGAACAATCGTAAAACAAAATATTATTAAGAACATGGAAAGAAAACACCTAGAAAATAAACTTGAATTGTCAAAGGCTTGTGCGTTTCCTCCTCTTTTCCCTTCTAACCCTAACGACTAAAAAGTCTTATTTATACTACTACAAAATAAAACCCTAAAAAGTCTTAGAATAAAACTAGGAAACATAATAAAATAATAAAACAGAAAATAAAAGGTTTCCTATTTAAACTGAAATTCGGACTTCTCAGTAAATTAGACTTTTGACCAACCAAATAAACTCCGATTTGGTCCCAAAAGGTCTCTTTTGAAAGCTGGAGACGCTCCCTACAAATCATCAGAAGGAATCTTCCTCAAAATATGTCATCTTGACCTCCAAAATACCCAAAACGTCCAGAAATGTCAGTTTGGAAAAGCTACGCGCTGGGCCTTTATTTCATCGCCATGGTCAAACAGCTTGGTAGAAAAATCTGGAATTTTGATACAATCATCTTGAAAGACTCACGAACATCATTGGAATCACTCCAAAAATTTATCTGTTTGATCACTTTTTGCTCCAAAGGAAGTCGAATATCCTACATTGAAAATATATAACAAAGTATCAAAATTCTACCAAAATAACTAATATATTAATACTAAGATAATGGTAAAATATATGGTATAATATTGACTCATCACCAACCATAGTAAATAAATTGCATATACGTAAATAAAGCTTGTGACAATGACTTTAATTCAACTCCATTCACATAAATTAAAAACTTAGAGCAATAGACAGTAAAACCATCTATGATAAATAAATTATTTTAAAGTAAATAGAACTTATGGAAATGTTTCATGACAATACTATTCACATAAAACAAAAAGTATCAGATTCTTTTTTTTTTTTTTTTCTTTGACCTTTTTCCACAGTGTGCCGAAGCACCTAAACCTTTATTATTATTATTTTTGCTTTTCTCACATGGTGCCGTGCACCGTTCAAACCTTTATCCCCATTTCCCCCTTTTTATTCTTTTCTGTGCACAATTCCAACACATCAAAGTAGCTATCTAGAGCTTTATGGCTGCTGGCTTTTCTTTGCCCTGAGCAGAAGCCATCCTACATAATTATCTCTCAATTTCTTGTAGGTAAAGGGGAGCTTTGAGGATATTTCAAGCTTAATTCAGACAGAGAGAGAGACTAATAGGGCTTGAAACGTCAAGCTTTATTTCAGAGGATTGCAACACCATCAAAAGACAGTTGCTATGGGCGCCTGGCCAAGTAGTGTAAAACTCAAAGCTAGAATTATCGTGAGTCCTCAAGATTCATTGAGAACGATGCGATCTGGGTTTCCAACTCTGATGAGATTCTTTTGGATCTCTGAAAACCAGTTGTCAGGTATGAGTTTTCTTACTCGTGATGACTACAGGTCATTGTAAATTTAAATTCTCACCGGAATTTGGTGGAGCGCTTCTGGTGTGGTGGGAGAGACGGAAAATGAACATACTTTTTATTATGTGAGATAGCTGACGGAGGTGAGAGGTAGATAGTGCTTCACCTTTCCACTGATATAAGAGTTTCTCGTGCTGACAACGTGTTGTAAAATGGGGGCGATGTGTGCAGTGGAATAAATGAAATAAGACACAAAATATACAAGGTTCCTCTACAGTTAGTGTGACTGGAGTACATCCTCGAAGTAACAGTAGTACTTTCAGTATAATTTGGAATAATAAGAGGACAAAGATGACTATCACTATTCTCTCCTCTCTTCTTCCTCTCTTTTTCTTTCCTCTTTCTTCTTTCACAATCTCTTCCGTGAACTTATCACTTTGGTGTTGTGTGGGGTTTGTATTTATATAGAAAATAGGAGTAATGTGCAGCAAGCTTCAACAGACAATGGAAGGACAACTTGCCCATTATTTAAGGATTTGGATCCTCTCCTGAGCTCAGAAATCTGAGCCTAGGAGAGGATCCAAATCCATTATTTAATTCTTTGAGTGGACATCCACTGTTTTACAAAAAATAAAAAACTAATCTCTTATCTTATCACAAAGTGAAGAACATTTCTCAGATAATCCAATAATTAACTGAAAATCATATGCTATCTGAAATGTAATGATGTTGTGTAAGCCACAATAAACATGTACATGAATTAATAATTGTACTTTCGCGAGTTATTTAATACATCTTGGGCCTGCAGGCCCAAGACCCACCCAGCCCAACCAATGTCCTTTCTTGGGCTTGTCACCTTTCTTAGCCCAGCAGGCCACACACCTATTGAGGACACATGCCTTATGCCTACTTTGTTGAAGAGCTCATAGGAGGGAGATGGCTGGACAAGTCCCATCACCAAATTGCACATATTTATTATCCCATATGATATGAATGTAACTTATAGATTGTGACAGAAAGATTAATAATTATTTTATGTTTTTTATTATCAAGATTTCAGAAACCACTTAAAACCAAACAAAACTCCGTTGAACTTTACAATTTGACGAGTTATTGATTAACGAATTTTCTTTATACATGTCATAATCAAAACTATTTATTTTTTAATCATCATAAATGGCGTGTGTTTGTGTAAAGGGAAATTGAATAAGAGGAAAGAAAATGACAATCGGTCCAAGTGAGTCAAGTGCTTCTTCCTTCTTCTTCTTTAAAAAGAAAAAAAAAAAAGAAAAAAAAGAAATCTTATTCTTTTCAAAAACTTATTTTCAATTGGATAGCATGAATGTGTTACGAGAATTTTATGTGCATCAATAAACATCTTATAAGAAATCAATCGCATTTTTACTATGATTCCAGATAATTTAGTAAACAAGTTGGATATAATTTTGATTCTTTCCTATTTCAACTTCTCCGAAATTCAATTCCTCCTCAAATTCTCTTATTTGATTTACGGATTATTAAACAAGTTATTATGTTGATTACAAATAAATAAACGAGTCGTTAATTCAATTCTCCCTTAATTCTATTTTTCTTTTCTTGATTACAAACTAGTAAAATATTAAATTATGAAACAAATGAACGGACGGCTTCATTGTAATTTGGAAGCCAATGGCCCCATGGAGAGGAAGGATTTTTCGGTGTACCCGGTACACCAAAAAAATTTGGTGTACCCTCACTCATAATGGTGAGGGTACACCAAAAAAATTTGGTGCACCCTCACTTTTTGTACACCAAAAAAATTCTAATGAGTGAGGGTACACCAAATTTTTTTGGTGTACCCGGTACACCTAAAAATTTTCCCATGGAGAGCATCTACAGGCCCAATTGACACTCGTTTCATTTACTCGAGGAATCTCCAAGTCAAGATCGTTGACTCCCTCCACCCGTCACTTCAGCTCAATTCCAACCGTCCACTCTTCGATCTCACACGCGCTTCTTCCCCGACGCGAATCCGCATCTTTCCCCATAGAATATGCCACGTGCGCACAGACCCCTCCTCCCCTCTGTACTAACCCCGGTTAGTTTACCCATCCCCTACCTTACTAACCCTAGTCGAATCTATATATATCCACACTTCTTTCTCTCTCCTCCCCGTTCAATCTCTGTTCCCTCTGCAATTTTCATTTCTTCGAAGCTCCAAAACAACAAAGAAACTACCAAATTAGGGTTTCGTGTTCGGAGCTCGGGATTTGTATCCGCGGATTACATGAGCGTTTTGTATAGCATTCTGTGGATTCGTTGTGTTGCGATTCAATGGCGGAGCGGAGGTTCGGCGTAGGCTATGCTTTGGCGCCCAAGAAGCAGCGGAGCTTCATTCAAGAATCGCTCGTCAACCTCGCCAAATCGCGCGGCATCGATCTCGTTCGGATCGACACTGACCGCTCGCTGGCGGATCAGGGGCCCTTCGACTGCGTGCTGCACAAGCTCTACGGCGATGACTGGAAGCTGCAGCTGGCGGAGTTTAGGGTCAAGAACCCTAATGCGGTGATACTCGACGCGCCGGAGGCGATCGAGCGCCTGCACAATCGGATTTCCATGTTGCAGGTGGTTTCGGAGCTGAAAATCGAGCACGAGAGCAACACGTTTGGGATTCCGAAGCAGATTGTGATATACGACAAGCAAACGCTGTTTGATCGCCAGGCGTGGGAGGGTCTGAAGTTTCCCGTGATTGCGAAGCCGCTGGTGGCGGACGGCAGCGCCAAGTCGCACAAAATGGCCTTGGTTTTCAACCATGACGGTCTCGACAACCTCAAGCCCCCAATTGTGCTTCAAGAGTTTGTGAACCATGGCGGCGTCATATTCAAGGTGTATGTGGTTGGAGAGTATGTGAAATGCGTGAAGCGTAAGTCGCTTCCGGATGTTTCCGAAGAAGAGAAATTAGGGAGCTTGGATGGTTTGATGTCGTTCTCGCAGATATCGAATCTTGCAAACAATGAGAGGACTGATGACAAGTATTACAAAATGATGCAGCTGGACGATACTGAGATGCCGCCGCAGAGTTTCATCACTGATATTGCAAGAGGCTTGCAGCAGGCAATGAAGTTGAACTTGTTTAACTTTGATGTGATCCGGGATGCAAGGTTTGGCAACCGCTACTTGATAATCGACATTAATTACTTTCCTGGGTATGCCAAGATGCCTGGCTATGAGACTCTGTTGACGGACTTCTTTTGTGACATTGTGCAAAAGAGAGAGAAAGATGGGGTGGAGAGCACTGGTTTGGATAGTTACGAGGTTCTTAGTTGCGACGATGAAGTGAGAAAATTGTAAGTTGTGATGGGGATGATGCGGGTGACCTTAACGTAGAAGATGTTGAGAGTTGTCCGGAGAACCCAAATCAAGTTTAAGGGCGGTGTGGCCTCTTCGTCCGGTGGTTGCACATTAGGTTTAGATAGCAGTTGGGGTACAATGCTGAACTGAGTAGGTTGGTTCTTGGTTTTAGCTTTAACTTCTTGACAACAAGATGACATGACGTTCAGCGTCTATCGTGTATATTCCATCCACCAATGCTCCGGAGAAGGTACTTCTCGAAATACTGTGCTGAAGTTTTAGCCTTTTTAGGAAAGTCAAGATGTAATCTGAGGCTTTAAAGTCCTTCCTTTCCTAGAAACTGTTTTAGTTTGTGCCATAGGCACCTTTTAGTTAATGGATTTTGGCCTTTTTGTTAATGATTTTTTCATTTTTATTCTTTTATGCTTTTTGGTCTCTGTTGAATTTATTGAATTTGTGATACTTTTCCCCCTGTTCTTGAAGTAATTTATTCTTCTTTTATTTTAATATGGCTTGAATGAATTGCATTAAGGTACTTTGTACCTCAAATGAATTGCATTAAGGTACTTTGGAATCCTCGTAATCCAAAAATGGGAAAAAGGAGACATAATAGATGGAAATCTCTCATGAAAAGTGCCTTTTCATAAACCATAACTTGGAAAGTTGGAATTTAGGTTTAGAGCCTCTTTTATATCAATACATTTTTATTTCTGTATTTGGCTAGTGATCCATGGTCTTTATCATGCTAGCTGAGAATTGGAAAGTGCCTGAAGTTATTAGTTATTAAACTCTTCCTTTTTATTAGAAATGTGGGTTTTATTGGACAAACAGGGTAAAAGAAATGGTTGTTGCCCTATTTTACTTTGTTTGTTGACAAGAAGCATTTTCAGTTGATTCAATTTATTCTGTTACTTTCTGATCAAACTTGTTGTCATATATCCGCCGCTTTTTATTAATTATTATTGGGAGTGTAGTGTTTTGTCGTATGTTTTGGAAGGTTAATTTAAGACTCAGTGCATATAGCGTGTCTTGGTGCTTTGATTTTACTAGTAATAAAGTGCTATCCCAGATTGCCTTTTAAGGTTTCGTGTCGACTTCAGAGTGTTGAACTCTAAAAAGCATACGTATAGTATTGTATTGACGTAAGATTTTTTGGATAACGTAGAATGCTAGAATCAGAATGCAGTAGGGTTCTGATTATTTCTTTGATGTATGAGTTATAGGGTTAGGAAATAGAGAAGAATTATCAGGTGGTTGTTGAAACAAAGTGGATCCAGGTTGAAATAAGTTTCTATGTTGGATCTGTTTCTATTCGCTAACAGTCAGTCTGTGTATTGATTTTGCATGTCAATAGAGGAGGGATTGACCCTCGTGTTGTTTTGGTGTGTTGTTATCAGTAATGGCTTCTCGTTGTCTTGTCCAAATATACCATGTCGTTTATATATATAAGTAGTTTATAGGTTTGACACTAATTCCCCTGGTGGCTTCTACTCATGTTAGTTCTGACTTTTAACTGTGTTGTATAAGCACCATGTGCTGGCTCGTAAAATTTTCATGTTTTCCATCAGTTGATAGGCTAATAGAATATCCAATTGTAGAAGCACCATATGCTCGTTGTATCTAGGATTCCTACACGTGTTTGCTAGCTGTCCAAAGTTCAGAATTGTGAGCGTTTCCCACAGTGCGACGTAGCTAAGAAGAGATTGGGTCTAGCAAAGCGACTAGGTTGCACAGGAACTATCTTATGTCATTTCGCCTCTCTGGTTACCCTCTTTCAAATACAAAAAGAGACATTACCATTACCGGGCAAGTGCAAAGCCACATTGATTGATAACATAATAGTGGTTTATAAGTGAAATGGAAAAGTTGGAATGCGATTGAGTTTCTGTAGTCAACTGCAAACATATTAAATCCTTTGCAAAAATATATCAAAAGTATATCCAATTGTTCTCCAATTGGCTTACTTCCCTTGCTTGAAATCCATGCTTCACCCCGCTCTACAGTTCTGCCCAAATGGGCTATATGACAGCACAGTTGAGAAATTAACGATAATAGGGTTAATTCTTTTCAGTGCGACTGGTTTCTCTAGCACTCATTACCCTGGCCAATTCCATGACCCATCCTTTGCTTCTCTAAGCTGAGTATTCCTACCATATTTCTAGCCTATTATAGGAGAAGTTATCTGTCTGTCTCTTAATTCTCTGTATCCTGTTTCCGAGAAGATTGGTGAACTAAAGCTCTAGGTGTCAGTTAGTTTGAGGAGATTGATGCAGGATGCATACTTCTCAGAAGGGTAACTTTAAGGATCTGGATATGCATTTGACATGATGTGCTCTGGATTCTTCTGGGTGATATCCAAATACTTCACAAACATATTCGCTTTGGAGATTAGATTAACTTTTTTTAGGACTTTTCCTATGCAAACATAGGAACAATTTATGACTTTTATCTTGAAGTGTTTATAGATAGATAATTATGAGATTGATTACTTTACTACCCCATGCGGAAATAGAAAGTTTTAGAATGGTAAGAAAAAGAAAAACAGCTTGTTTTCTGTTTGTCAAACTTATAGTTTGCCCCCAAGTTATGTTTTGATTCCATTATATCTGCAGAGTTGGCGGAAGGTTTCCACTCTGCCTTTTTTCTTTCTTTTCGTTATTTGTTCAGTTAGTTATTAGTTTCTTGTTAAAGGCACTCTTCTTGTAAGGTGATTAATTGTTGATCTGTGAAGGATAGAATAACCTCTGCATATTCCGTCGTTAGGTTGTATATGTATAGGTACTGTGAGTTTTCATGAAATGCATCTTTGCTACTCCTTTGAATGTTTGTGCGTTGCACAATTTTGTGGGCTTATCGTAAAGGTCATGATTTATGTGATAGTGTTTATAGGAATTAATCCTTTGAGAATAATGTCCTTGACGCCATCTGTAGACAGAGCTTCATGTACAGACCCTTTGTTAGATGTAAAACTTAAGCCAAGTTTGGTATTTGACGAGGAAAGGTAGAAGTTAATTTTTCTGGCTGCCACAGCAACTTTGAATTTGCTGTTGTACCTTGGTTTAGCGTTACCAAATGTGGAATAGTGGTGGGTGGATATGAATCTCTAGCAGTCTTCCATGGAGATCGAACTCTGTTTAGGTAGCAGAGCGGTTATTGAGGACCCAAGTTCAAGACATTTGGGGAATTAACATCGAGCGGGTTCAGTCTTTCTGTGTTGTGGTGTTTCTATTCCAATATGTTTCTGCAGTAGAGTAATTGATTTAGATTTATATATGTTACAGTGGCAATGCCGGTTTGTCATTTCTATGCAGTCTTTAGATATTTGCTTGGATCATTTTCCGTTTGGATTAGATATTCCAAGTTTCATGAGGAAACTTGAGGAAATGGAATCAGGACCTTGGTTGTTCCTGTTTATCTTGGAAGGGATATGGTGGCAATATAATTCTTTGGAGTCGTTCAAATTCCCCAGTATTCGTTTGCAGTGTGTGATCTGAAAATTCCTGTATCCATTCCGGTCACTCTCTGCATTTGGCCTCCATGTCTTAAAATCTTGGTTTAGTTGTAACCTATATTCGTTCTAAGCAACGTGAAATAGGAATGGCAATAGGGCGGAGCGGGGCCGGTGGTGCCACCTCCATTGGTGATTTTTCCTCCGTAACCGTTACTTTAAGGGGATTCTTCGTCCCCGCCTCCACTGGAATAGTACTTCCAAACTCGCATCCGCCTACCTGCGCATTTTGTTATGTTTATAAAATGACAACCGGATTTTTTTTTTTTTTTTTTTTTTTTTGAGAAATTGATAGAAATGAGTTATTTTCTTAATATTAGGACAAAAAATCACATGCATGCACAACAATATAACAAAAATAAGATTTTTGTAAAACTTAAAATGACTAAATTGTCCTCCCCTATAAATGGGTTATTGCAAAGAAACCCAACAAAGAGTACCAAATTGAAGAGAATTGTAGCAAGCTCCAAAACGGGCAAACCCTGTAGAGCTGTCAAAATGGTAATCGAGGATTGCTGAGCTGGTGAAGAAGACGAAGGAGTTAAGGAGGTGTCTCCATAGAGGAGGAGAGTGGGACCCATTATTGGATGTAGCGGAACTTGCGCAAGAGTCGATTGAAAAGAGTGAGTTGCTGGTGAGCTGCTAGGCGAGAGGAGGAGAGATTGAATCGTTTGACAGAGAAGGGCATTTCACCATCTGGGAATCGTACCGTTGAAATTTGATTCAACGGCTACAAACAGAGATACACTTTAAAAGTTACAGTAGCTTCTGTCGTATCAAATTTCAACGACAAGGATCACTGATTTTATGGAGAAGAGAAAATTTTAATTACTACTTATATCTCTACTAAATAAGGAAAAGTGCATCATGCAGATAAAATAAATTTAAAAATTATTTTAATTTAAAAAAAATATAATAATGGCATGTAATTTGGCTTGAGGTGGCTATTTGACATGCCCAACCCTGATATTCTCCAAACACTAGGGTAGGCACGTGCTGGCCGACACTCGAAAGTGACGAAGCCATATTAGGATGCATGAAAACTAAAAACAATTAACTGACATAAATAAAACTTGTAAATTTAATTATAATGAAGATTCAATTGTGGAACGTGTTCAGAGCATACAACTAATCCGAGACACTAAAAAGGAATAATATAAAATTGAATGAACAAAGAGATGGATCCTACACTGAGAGGATTCGAAGATGCCGATACGAGAATGCCTTGATGTTGGGATTGTACGCCTCGATTCTAAGTCTTGAGAGGGCGCAAAACAAAACATAAGTGGACTAAGTTGATATATAAGTAATAATAACATAGTTATTCAACAACGTACTAACACCCAAAGTTTATGAAAACTCATATAGCGTAATAAAATAGGTTTTCCAGAAACCCTAGCATGCCATAAAACTTCATAAAACATATACTGTATATAATGTGGCTAGTAGTGGTATCATCTCCCGCCCGAAGGCATATAGAACTCTTCATTTGCCCAAAGGCATACAAAACTCTTTCGACCGAAGCCACCTACACATGCTCGGCCGAAGCCATATACACACGTTCGGCTGAAGCCAATATGAGTATCTTCCGGCAGAAGCCAAATATAAGTATAATTCACCCATAGGCAACTAGATCACCCGACCGAAGCCATATATAGAAACGAATGTCATAAACGGATTTAGGACGTCGAAAAATATAAAAGGGGACCTTGGGTACCCCCATGCGTCGCCGCACGTGCCTTCATGGGCCGCTATGGGATGGCGACCCGGATGATCACACGCTAATTTAGGACCCCAAAAAGTTGGCGCCATGGATGGCGGTGGAGCACTGTATCTCCGGTGAAGGCACATGTGTTCCATGCGTCGCCCAAGACAAGTGCTCACATGCGC